TCTAGAAGAACCAGGAGCACCCGTTAATAGAATGGATTGTTACTTTTTTTGAAAACCTATATGTAGTGGTCAGTAGGAAACAAATTGAATAGCTTGATAATAATTGAACTTATGCATTGCCTGAGCATTAATCTATACAACCATACTGCGATCTTTATTAACTGAAAAATCATTTAGATTAACTAAAAAAAAAAAATACTTCTTTCTTCTCAGACTTCCGTTCATATTGACTTTCCATTACTGGCCTCGTGTATGGCTGCACACACAAGAGCGTTAGAGCTGGTCTCCAAAAGGGAAAACAGATTAGAAACCAGTGCTTGCTTGTAATGTGGATGAAGGCTCAGCTGGTCAGGGGGTTGTTTTAATTAAGGTTTACCTAATGGTACTAAGGAGCCCTTCCCTCTCAGCAAGTCTAGCAGAGGCAATCAGAAGAAAGCTGGCCCCGTCCAAGTTCTTGTCAGGGAAGGTGGCAGATTACTTAAAGAAATGTGAAAGGGAGACTGAAAACGTTGCAGGAAAGCAAGAGGTTTAAGTAGTAAAGGAGAGGATGAATGTACAAAGATCAAACAAATCAATTTGATTTAATCCACGTTTGTGTCTTAAAGCAGTAGTTTATCTGAAGAGCCTATGTAATTTTAAGGAATAGAAAGACAAAGGCAAAAGAACTAAGCAATAAGAGACTACCTTATTCAAAAATAACTTTTTAAAAAAGTATTGATGGACTCTCCCTCCCTTTAAATAGAGATAAATGTCAATAGTGACTGCTTCTGAGACACTGCATGCTTTGCTGACCTTTCCTTGACAGGTTTAAGGGGACATAAAGGAAGTCGATGTGCTGGTGGCTACTAAGTCTTTTAGACAATGAAACATATACTCAGACATACCCCCTGTTTCAGTATTTAATCATCCATAAAATTATTTGCTGAAAGCAGGTATAGCTTGAGCCAACAGCAGCTGGAGTTAATATATTCCAGGACTGCAGCAGCTCCAGATGCTCCAGATGTTTGAGAACCTTTGTGAAGTTTGTTCCCTGTTGGCTGTGGCAGCCTTGCCAGGTGACACTGCTGAGGATGCATGTGTGGCTTACCTTCTGTGTCATCCAGAGAGAACACAAACCTGATCCCACAAGTACAGATAATTTCCAGTAATCATTGTTTCTATGTTTCCATGGTTACTGGAAAGAGAAAAAATTCTATTTTTGCTTCATGAAACTACAAAAATGAAACATTTTCCAAAAACTGTGTAAGGTTAAACTTGAATTGTGAGCAGACAATATAGCCATTTTCCCTTCATGTGTGCTTTTTCTTTACTCTCTTTCCTGCCTTCCCATCACTTCTGACCTGGACAAATCCCGCCAGCTCCACAGGAATGCTACTCCTCAGAAATAATCCCAAAAGGGGCAGAGATCAAACTTGTTTCTTTGGGGTATTGGAGAGACTTCAGGCATCATTCATTCAAAAAGAAAAAGAAAAAAACCCACAACAACTGAAAAAAGAATATTGTTTCCAAGGTCTGAAGAGTTTGTTATTTATATAAACACAGCCAGAGCAGATGTGGCAAAAGTTGATGGTAACCTCCTGCTCCATTTTCACAGCAAGTCTGCCTATGAGGGCCAATATAATTATTTGTCGAACCTATCAACTATGAGTAGGCTTAGTGTGCAGTATTTAATGAAACCTCCATGGAAATGTGTGTTGTTTCATCTAAAAGGGTAGTGGGGGTTTTTTTCAATTTTCAAGCCCAGGCATTTCCTTTATCACATAAGAGAGCACAGTGATGGGTCCTCAGTAACCAGTTTATGCTAACAGGTTTGTGAAATTCATGCAGGGCCATCCAAAGGTACAAGCTCAGGTTGATGTGAGCTATATGGCTATTTTAGGTCACTGGACCTGAACAGTTAGCCTTGTTGCTCCAGAAAGTGTTACAAAGACACAGTATAATACTGGTCTGACTAGACTTCAAGGGCATCTAGCTCATTTGAGTGTATTTTAGTGCCCTGTAAAATGCACATGAAGGAATAAACACAGATAGCCCAAATATCCCTCCTGGTGTTTGGATGGCTGCAGCTTTACATCACAAAAATCTCCACTGTCTCCTTGGAGAAGTGAACCAGGCAGCTGAGAAGACCTTTCCTAGAGACCTCTCTGCTCCATCTTCTGGGGTTTGCTGGAAAAATGTACTTTACTCAAAGTACCCACTCTTTGTATTGCTCTTGTTACTACGTATACCACAGAAGCACGTGTGTGTCTTGGACAAATAACACTATAAAGATTGGAAAGGAACTGCTTGAAGAATTTACACTGCAAAAGACGTGCAAAGGTAGAAAGGAAAATTAAAATGCTAAGACATGAAATCACTTGTCCTAATTACTGTAAGTCAGGTATCCCACTGCTTGTCTGTTTTACTAGGACTTAGGCCTTTCTAGCTTGTTGCTGTCAAATGTTTTATTTGCTTCGCGAAATTCACACACAAACAGACACTGCATGAAACATCCCAGGAACAGGATTAGGTATTTTCCACCCTGGCATACTTTCCATCCAGAGAAGTAAAGTTTTTGAAATCAGAAGGCAGTTTTGCTAGCATCAGACTCCTGTTGACTCCTGCCATGAAAATGCCTGCAGGGCAACCATAATAAGAAGTGGAAATACCTCACTTCTTCTCCAGCTGCCTTCCTGAGTTTGCTGATCTCAGTCTTGGTTCAGATATTGTGAGTCTGGAAAATAGACTGTGCTTCATATCACAGCAAGTAACATCCAAAGAAGTTACAAAGCTGCTCTTTTATCCCCCCAAGTGTTGACATCCTATTGTTTCTTTGCAAATGATATTTTGCAAAAAGGAAGTAGTTAAATTCCTTATCATAGTAAATGTAAGGAGTACTAGTATTTATGTGATTGCAAGAATTTATACCAAGTTGTGGTTTTCCTTCAGCACTATCAAGTGTCACTGAGAAGCAATCCTGGAAGTTCAAAAGACAAGCAGTGAAAAATATTCTTCTAACATGTTCCTGTCAGGTACTCTGTAAGTGCATTAATTTTTGCTTGAATGATGAAACAGGGAGACCTGTAAAACAACAATCTATTTGTAATGGGATTCTGCACACAGCATCCTGATATACAGTCTCATCTGAGAAGTGAAAGGGCCAGCGTCAGTGTGATAAATACTACTTTTAGGGACAAGATGAGGGAAAACATTAGCTTGGTGAAAGTATGTGTGAGCAGCAGAACGTGACAAGTGCTCTGCTTACGTTTCAGCCTGTGCACAGCCAGGCTGGATGTTTTCCCAATCAAGGTCAACCTGTGCACACACAGGGAAAGGGGAAAGGAAGGCAGTGAGTGAAACGCTGCACTCCCTCAATGTGTCTTGCCACACCACACCAGCCACACACCTGCACAGCTTTAGGGACAAGTTGACAGAAAACTCTCTGTGAGCAGGGGAACCTGGTCGTGGAGTGGCAACACATCTCCCAGCAGCAAGAGCCTGGCATCAGGAGAAGTGGCATCAACCCCATGCCTCTGCTCCAGTTTGGTGGTGGGGCAAGAAGGTGGAGTAAGGCCACACTCTGCATCTCCTATCCCATTACTTTATGGGGAACAGACAGAAAAGTTTCTTCTGCCTGTGTATTTTATCTATGAAACCTTCCTCATGCTGGTGTCAGCGTATTTCAGTATGAGATGCAGCATCCCCTGGCATGGGGCCCTCGGTGCAGTGGAAGCGGGATGCCAGCACAGCTCCTTTGCTCCTAGCCTGGCCGGTGATGACTATTTTGGTCTGGAGACCAGGAAAGAATTTTGGATTGTGCCAAAAATAGCATGGCAGAAGGTAACGGTGCAAAAGCTCCACTGGGGGTGGAGGGCACTGAGATGGATACAGGTGTTTGGGGCTGAGCCACAAGGGTGAATGGTAGGTTCTTGGTCCTATAAGGGCCACTGGGTACGGAAACAGACGTAAGGAAGGCAGCCCAGAGGCACTCACTGGTCTTCAGCTTGTCTTCACTCTTCATGTCCTTCCTGTGAAACAAAATGCGGAGATGCAGTGGTGTGGGACAGGAGCTGCTGCGTGTGTGTGGGTGTGAGCTGAGGCCAGAGCTGTGCGGGTAGATGAGTCCCACCAGACAACTGCCACAAGAACCCTGCTATGAGATTGGGGTTGTGCCAAGGGGCAACGGGGCCCTACTGCCCTGCACATGTCTCCCAGAGAGCCTGGGGACACGGTGGGTGTCCACAGGGGCACAGCCAGGGCAGCCCTCCCTGTGTGCCACCCACTGGGGCAAACCACAGCCACAGCCTGCCATAGGGCAAAGCTGCTCAGCTCACATGGCTTTGATCAAGCCAGGATAAGAGTGATTTATTCAGCAGCACGTAACTAACCAGCAGTCGGTGGTTCAATATCAGCAACACAGCAGATAAACCACATTACTAGACATTTAGCAAATGTTAATAAACACCAATAAAATCCTATACACCCTTTCAACCCCAAGACCTTCTTGTCACCCACACTGACACGTGCACGTGTGCATGGCTGCAGTGTGGGCTATATGCACCTCCCATCTCCAGGACTGGCCACTTCTCTAGCCTGCCCCAGTCCCTCTGCTTGGCAGTGTGACCACCTGCTCTGTCAGCCTCTCACCAGTGCCACGCACAGCTCACTGAAGGTATGCTCTGCATGAATCTGTTCTCCCATGGCCATCCTCTGGGCATGCAAAGTGTCCCCTCTCTCCCTAGGCCACTGCTGAGCCTCCTGCTATTCCTTATCCAGTTATCAGGAATCAGTTTAACAGAATTACGGGCACCTGTTCTGTGCCTTCCTAACTTTGGGCTTTGACTAGCTTTACTTTTTTTGTTTTGGAAATCAGTGGTGCATCTCTGCAAAAGCATATTTCCCCTGTGAAAGCATGCAGCTAGTGTGAGTGGATTTTGCAGAAGAATCTTTTATTCCATTGATCTGCTGGCAATTGCTCCTGGGTCAATCTCAGAAATGTCTCTGCGAAGGCTCACCCCCTTTCAGACTTGTACTTCATTTTCATGTACAGTCACAGTGTCCTGCTCCACAGATAAATGCTCTGGTGTGGCTGCTATGATGATGGGCACCCTGCTCACATTGGTGGATGTCGTACAAGCAATGTCAGTGGTGCCTACCACCTCGTACCTGAATGCCATGATTTTATTTTCCCCAAGAGTGCTGGTGACAGGCATAGGTTTTGGCAGAACCAGTGTGCTGGTAACTCTCATGCTCTCAGAGGGAGCTGTGTCTGTCTGGGACTCCAACCTTGTCACTTCACTTTGTTCTTCCAAGGAATGTTGTTCTCCCCTGCTGCTGAAGCCTCTATACAGGACAATCCAGTGTAAAGCAAAAATTACCTTTCTAACATAATTGTTTGTCCTGTTGGAAATATCTGTCATGAAGACAATGGTTTCTCCAGGGCAAAACATGCTTTTCTCCAGGGAAATACAAAGGACCACAGAGCCATGACTGAAGCAGCAAAAATAAACTACATTCTTCCTGGCTTCCACCACCAATAGGGCCTGCATGGAGAAGGTTAGTGGAAAGGCAAAGCCTGGTGAGTTCTTTTGCTGGATATGGAGTGATCCCCAAACACCACATGCATAAACTCCTAATGCAACAGCTGAGGCTGTTCAACCCTCCCCAGAAGTCCCATCATTAACACAGAGGACAGTTTTCCTCGTGGCACCAAATGTGATGTGGCTGAAGTATCAACATTGTCCTGAGCATCTGTTCAAAGAATTCATGTGTACACATGTAAACACTGTCACCTTTAGCTATCCATATCCAAATTTAGAGGGAGACCACAAAATTATTAGAATCATCATCTTCTATCTGTCTTGATGACCTTTGATTGATTGTCTCAGTCCAGTCAGAGCTTAGTAAAAAAGGCACCTCTTTGCCCAAGGCTTAAACTCCAAAGCAAGACAATAACCTCCCATTTCCCTCATTCTGAATCTCAAAGCACACCCTACATGTCACTCTTGAAGTCTTAGAATGCAGTTTATATGCTAAAAAAGAAATATCTTGGTGCAAATCCCAGGACAAAGATGGCAGAAGATATTGTAGTGCCATTTGAATGGTAGAAGAAGGAAGCTCAAAGCCTAAAATTTGTGGACACTCAGTAGTAAGCAGTTACAACTCTGGATCAGAAGAGGGTAGGGCTGTGTGTCTCCAACTTAGCTCATTCACCTTACCATCTCTTTCATGTGTTTTCTGTGGTCACCAGCAGTTCCTTGCAACAGTAAACATCTCTCCTCTTTAGCTAAGACAATTTGGCAGCTGCAGCAAATCCCTTGAACAAGGTAGGAGATGGAGCCAATTTTGCTTGTGAATGTAGAGGGAATACTTGGAGGAAAGCTGAAGTGGAAGCCAAACGTGTGGACCCCAGAATCCAGCCAGCCATCTGAAAGCCAAACAACATGCTGCTATCAGAAGCCTTTTCAACATTTCGGATATCTGTACCTTACAAAAACCTTTATGTTTGTTCCAGAATCCAAGTGTCCTTGCCATCTGGTATTGCACCCAAAGTGCCATAAAGGCACGGTATGGGGTAGGCCATGTTTTGCCTCTGCAGGTCAGCTGCTGGATGTACGAACCCCTACCAGCTGGCAGACTGGAGAACTGCTAATCTGCCTCATTTTAACAGAAGGTCAGCAAACCTGCATCTCCTCACAAACTGCTTAGGATTTTCACTTACCAAAATGGAGTGCCATAGACTTTAAACAATCCAAATAAGCACTAACAGGCTTTTTGAGAGTAAAGTGGTGCAATAACTCTCATTCATCTTTTATCATTGTCTACAACACTTGTGCATATAATCTGAAACTTTTGTTTCACCTGGGCAAAAGACCCCACTCAGAAAAAATGTAATACTTGACACCTCTGCACAACAGTGAGACAGGAGAACTATGATCCATTCTTTCAAATGTCTTTACTTCTGTGCCACTTAAGCAAATTCAATTTTGTGAGAGTAATGTCCCACTGCCTGTAATGAAAGACTATCCCACCTACGCAAGGTTTGGCCTCTTCTGGCCAGATAAGGCCAGCTCTTACCTCTTTTCTTCATTCAAGACCCATTTCTTTTAAACACATATGCTAGCAGTTTATCACCCAGACCTAAGCTTTCCTTCCTCCTAGTAGCTTATGCCAAACCTTCACTTTGAACAATATTATTAGAGGATGTGAGACTGCTAAAATTTTGTCCTGCTAACTGCATCCTTTTGCAGACAAATTCAACAATGCCTTCAAGTTTTAATAATCTAAAATGGATAGTCTTGTTGGCAGAAAAGCCTGGATATTGTTTTCTCACAGCATGGGAGATTTACCAGATGGCATAAAAGCATTTTCAATCAATCAGGATTGTAACTCTGAAGAAAAAAAATGCCTAACACAATCTGAAATGGAGGAAACTAAAATTCATCAGCCTCTTAGATAACTGCTATGTAATATAGGAATGGCATGTTCTCTATTCTGACAGTTTGTAGAAACCTGATATTTCCAGGGCCTTATCTCACATAACATTAAGTTGTTTGGGCTATGTTCTTGTTTTGGTAGAAGGAAAGACTTTGAACTGTGACCAGATCTACAATTTAACATGGAAAGAAATCAGTGTTCCTCTCCTGGAATGATCTGCAGTTGAGCCCCGGTGTGAGTGGTCTGTTTTGCAGCCCCAGCACAGCATGGGGATTTACTGAAGGAGTTCAGATTTCTCAGTCCCTGCTGCAGGTATGGCCTGAAAGCCTGGCTTTGTGTGCAGGGCTGAAGTACGACCTATGGTTCAAAAAGGGTTGCCGATACTTATTTTGTTCTAAGTGCAGCTTTAATCCCACTTTCTCTGGCTTGTTTTGCAACACTTCTAAAGAGATTTCTTCAAATTGTGCCCACTTGCTAAGTTGTGCTCTACTTTCTGTGCAGTGCCACAGACTCAAAAGGACAGCAGACTTAAACACGGTCCCTGAATTGACCCTGGAAGCAAAGGTGCACTCGCTTTCCCTGGATCCCTGTGGCTGCTGGATGTAAGCTCCATCACACAGGAGCATCTACCCTCTGCCTGGGCACCAAAAACCCTACTGCTCTGAAACCATGCAACAGAATTAATCCCACTGTAGAGAGTTTCCCAGCAGCTGCAGGGGTGGGAGGGTGTTCCCAAGAGTTAGCTCCTTAGAGAGACCCAAAGGGTACCACACACTTGGTGTTCAGCAGAACCTGGGAACTTCAGTCACACTGGAAAATATAAGTCGATTCCACATAATTTATTGTGCTACCTGATTCAAAAAGTGTTCCTTGTTGTATTTCCCACCAAGGAAGCTGATAGCTGCAGCTGTGGGGAAAGTGCAAAGATGCTGCTGGTAGGAGAGGGGTGACCTTTCTATGAAGGGCACAAGGGATTTCCTGGAGTGTGACGGACTGTGCAGAGCAGTGCTTGAAGAGTTTCAAACTGCCCTGAGTGATGTGAGCTCCTGCCTCTGGTTTGGTCTATCTTGGGGAGTTTCTGCTGGTGATGAGGATGGTTATCCCTGGTAGCACTGCAACTTATCTTTTTATTTCCTGGATCTAATTATCCTAGAGCTGTTACCAGTCATATTCAATGACTGCCAAGAGTCAGTTCCTCCAGCAGTCATTATCTTACAGAGAGACAATACTGAGTTTCTTGTGTGGTGGCAGGGCTTGCCAGGGTCAGAAAGAAATATGTCAGCAGGTACCTGGATCCATGTATATACACTTCTTACAGAGACATCAGATGTGACCCAAGTAGGGCATGTGGCAAGATCAAACACCAGATAGTAACATGCTATCAGGAGCATATCAGCAGCTGAGTGTCAGAAGCTGACACAGGCAGCAATCTGTTCAAACATTCATCCCTTGTATGCCAACAGCAGTGGGGGGCACAGCATATTCAGGATAGGAAGGGTCAGATCCATATCATCTTTCATGCTTTAAAATGGCTTTCTTAGACTTGTTAGAGCACTTCTACAGAGATACAATCAATGCTCGAAAAGGAGGAAAAAGACTGAGCTACAGTAGTAAAAACAGTTATTAAACTATACTGCACTGGCAAGTCTTGATGGATGTGGGTGCTAAACACTTCTGAAAACAGGAATGTATGCTTAGGTGGCAGAATGTGGATTGAAGAGTGTAAGCAACACCAATTTGAACTTTAGCTGAAATTATCAGAACTGAGGAGCTTTATAGGTACTTGTTCCTATAATGGCAAAAATATTTTTCCAACACTCAGCCTTTCTCCCTCTTTTCTGTCAGGGCTGTAACATCTGGTTGCCTACAGGAAGCGTCAGCATGCTGAAGTACATCAAGGCTAAGACTAACACATGTGTAAGGACAAAATGACCGTTGGGTGTGGTAGAGCCTTGAAGTCTGAGAGGAAATGAAGGCTGACCACTGCAGGTCATAGTTTAAAAGCACAGATTCAACACATTGGCACAGTCTGACTTCAGTACTAAACTAATCTAGGGCAGTGACCACCTATGATCTGTAGACTAAATTTTTAGGATTCACAACAGACCCTAAGAAAGAGGAGGTGAGAAAGCAAAGTGCACCTTCCAGGAGGTTTCTGTTTGCTTTACACATCTCCTGGAACAATTCACTGGTCTGTAAAGAAAAGTGTCTTAGGTGGTCATTACATCCCACTGGCTTTACTTTTTTAATAAATCTGTACATTTTAAGAATCATATCTGCATTTATATGTGTGCATATTGAGGTATGTAATATCTGAAGGGAAGGCGCAAAGAAGGTGGAGCCAGGCTCTTCTCAGTGACACGAATAATGCCTTTACTATAGTTGAAAATATAACAAAGACTATATACCCAGTAAGTCAACACGTAAGTCAACAAGAACACTGAAGGCAAGGATTTTAGACCAGAGAATGCTTCAGCAACGTGCTTGTGACTAAAGGTTTCCTACCTGCCACTGAACAGGTTGTGATAGATTTCTGTGCAACAAATGTTCACTTCACAGAGAGATCCATCAACCTGTGGGGGTCTCACGCTCTCCAATACTGCAGCCTGTACCAAAACACTGCTGTTCATCATGACGCCCTGGTTGCCGTATGATGTAGTAAAAAGGAGTATGCCATGAAATAAAAACAGAGCATGTGAGCATTGGGAAAAGGAAGGCTTCCTCCTCACTCAAAAAGGTCTGACCCCATCTTCCCTAGCCCAACGCTAAGATGATGTTCAGTTAAACAGCACCTTGTTCCAGTGTTTTACCCTTCATGTGGAAATTCTCTGCTTTGAAGACATAGACAGCCTGGTTGGTGAAAGCCATGTTCTTCTCATAGTCCAGTATGGGATTATCCTTCTCAAACCATCTCAAACAGCCTTTTCCCACAAGCTCCACCTTCACCACAGGGTCCACCAGGGTACTCCTGAGGTTCAGAACTAGTTGGTCATCTATGCTGGAGCAAGACAAATACACCTCAATCTTGGGCAGCACCAGGTTAATTGCTCTCACTGTTGACATTAGAGAAGAGCCAGAGCTGAATGCTGCTGGGGTCTGGTGGCGATCATCTTCTCCAGACTCACCCCACTATGACCATAGGTCACACTATGGGATACAGGCACAGGGTGCCCCACAGGGAGTGAGCTTAGCTCGCCAAGCTATGCCAGAGGGGATTGGGGTCACTTACCTGGTTATTAGCAGCACCTAACTAACTAGCAAGCATTTAACTACGTACTTAAGATCAGTATCAGCAACATAGCACATAACTCACAATTCAAGACACTTAGAAAATGTTGATAAACACCCAGAAATTTCTAAGTGTCCTTCCATGACTAATCCCCAGACTTCTCAATGTGCACACACACACGCACAGAGACATGCACGGTTAGATGAACCCCTCTTTTCTGGGGTGCTATTTCCTCAAACTCACGCATGTCTCCTTGGGAAGACGTGGGTGCTCTATGTGCACCCTACCCACTAATCCATCCACCGGTGAGAACACAGTCCCTCAGGCTCCCCACACACCCTGGAGCACTGCACCCCATCGGTGTCAGCATGCTGGCTGCACACAAGATGCTCACACCATCCAACAGCAGTGGGCTGCTGCTGGCAGCACCAGCCATGGCCTTGGTGGCTGCTGCTTCCCTCATCACGCTCCTGGGTGCCGGCCCCAGTCACAGCTTCGCACACCTACTCAAGATTGCTTTCCAGGGTGACTCTTTCTACTCTCATAAATTTCCTGGTGATCTCCTGTCTACTGTTTAATCCAGCTGATGGCTGTCTCTAGTAAACTTCACCATTCCTACTTTCCTCATGGTGTTACCGGTTTTTGTGTGTTGTGTTCACATCTGCTGTCCACACTCACCTCACTACCACAAAAGCTGTTGTTTTCTGGGCATGCTACCAAGAAGGAGCCATGCAAATCCCCTTCCCAGCAAACTACTAGCAGTGGGTAGCAGATGTGACTGAAACTGCTGGCATACGTGGTGGCCAGAAGACTATAGCAAGTGCCAGTGAGATCTGTGGACAGCAGGGCAGGCAAGTGGCCACCACACCATCCCTCTGAGCAGCAAGGTCCTGCAGGTCTGGCTGAGGCCAGCGGGCTCTCAGTCACCAATGCAGGGTGGTTGGCAAGATTCCACTGTAATGTTGGAGGCTTTGGAGAACATGACTAAAGGCAAGTGACCAAGACAAAGCTCAGCCTGATCTCCTCTTTGTCATATCAGAGCAATTCCAGCTAGCTGAGGATGCTGCAACTTGATCATAACATTAAGTGCAAAGACACCTCAAAACGCTGTAAGGCTGATCTGAGATAGAGCTCAGATGCTGTTGGAAATTTGGACTGAATGGGTGTGTCAAGCTCTGATCCACACAGATGTCGGAAAGGAAGAAAAAGGATGCAGTATGGGAGATCAGAAAGATGTCTTCAGCCAGGGAAACAGAGATTAAAGCAGCTACAGAAAGGGCTGCAGCAAGGACCACATCTGTGGTTGATGCCAGCAGACATCTGTGAGCCACTGATGAGCTGGGAGCCCAGAGTGAAAGTGCTGGCACCTGCTCTGCAGAACCCAATTCCAGGGACAGTGTCCTCAGCTGCAGGTGGACGATGAGGGCACATGCTGAGAATGCTGAATATTAACTGATCAAGATTGCCAACAGTTTAGAAAACAAGTCACAGCAGCATGTTGAACTTTAAGCCTTTCCTCCTCCATACAAATTAGTCACTTATTCCAAAGCTGTAAAGATTCTTCCTCACAGTTCTGTACCCCATCCTTGCTTACAGTGTTTTCAGGTATTTCTTTTTTAAGGAAAAAAAAAACCAACACACAAAAAACCCAGTGAATTAACATGCTGACTGCAAATTCTCACACAGTCTTGAAAGAATCAAGGCTGCTGCACCTTGTCCTCTGACCCTCTGCTTGCCTTGCCTTGTTAAAAATTAAACTCTTTGGGAAAGGAACTTTTCAGTGCTCTGGATTGTAGTGAGAAGGAACAGTTTCTTAACTGGGTGCAGAACTACCAATAACAAAAATATCCTTTTTCTTATTTATGCTTGGCAGTTTTCAGCAGTCATTGCCTTGTGCACAAGTTGTTATGGGTGGAAAAAGAATACCTTACAGCTACTTGCATGAGTGATGATATCTCGTCAAGTAAAAAATTATAATTAGTGATAATATATGAATTGAATGCTAGATTCCCATGGTTTGCTGCTCAGGCAGTGATTTATGCTTTACAAAAATAGCTTATAGCTATGATCTCCATGCTGCCATTACACCAAACCAATATTTTATCTCAATCTGTACATCCTCTGAGAATTTTAAGTGCAATCTGAGCATGCATTCTGAGTGTTCAATTGGCCTGAAAGGGAGGGAGCATTGCTTTTAAGTCACGGTTTGTGCTTCTTCCTTAACTCCAATTTCTGTCTTGAAGTTAGACCATCTAAAAGCGAGTTGTGCAAATGTTGTTTCTTTGCACCTTGTGACATCTCCGACAAATTATTTAAAAATTTAATTTCCAGAAGAACTGTACAGTATACTTTTAACAAAAACAAGCTTCAAAAGGTACAGTAGGGAACATTATATTCTATCTTTGCTTATGTTGATGTGTGGTGTCATTGATTTTGACTTTTCAGTTGATACCAGCCGAAACAGAATCTTTCATCAGAAGCAGTTACTCTTCAGAAGTCACAAATGAAAGGAAAGTGGGTCCATACCCCCCATTCGTTTTGCAAAACAAAAGCTGGCTTCCATAGTTTCCTCTCAGTAATTTAAGAAGTTTTATACAGTCCCACTGTGTTTCATGCTTTTGTCCAGGCATCAGGGAAGACTGTGTCATTGTTTGTTCCTGCTTTCATTCTCAGAGATTCACATGAGCATTGCCTTGGGTTTAAGCCTCCTGGTTTCAGTTTAAAATTTTAAACCTGAAAACCCAAGGGCAAGGGAAAGGCTTACAGAGACCTTACAGTGTTGTGCTGCAATAAAACACACTGATGTAGGGTTGTGTTGATGAGGTCCCAGGGTGACCAAACTCAGGCCCAATGGGAGCTGTTGTCACTCTGGGTCTGCACAAGGACTGGCTTCCCCAGAGACCTTGAAGTCTGAAGGACCTGGATGTGGCAAAGCAGAGGGAAGAACCAGGCTGAGCTCTTGGGCTCATCACAGAACTTGGACTGGTCTGAACTTTAAAAGGATATAATATGAAACTGTTGCACAGATCTCGTTTGTATTCTCCTGCTTTCCACCAGCATCTATATTTGCACACAAATTCCATTTGTAAGTTGAGCTGCCTCTGTAGCTCTCCTGATAGTGATATGTGGAAAATGGAGTACCTGCATTTGAATTTTAAATGTCTTGTATTACAGGGGAATTAGGCTGTACTGTTAGTGCTTTAGATGCACTAAGTGCTAGCATGAGCTTTCTAGAAGCCAACTTCATAACCTTATTATAGGCAGTGACATAGCTATGAAGAAACTGTTGTGGAGGATTCTTTGTACCCTCAGGCCCTGTAAATATACAGGTTTCACAAGAGAACATAAACCAGGCAAATGAATGCAGTTTCTTTTTGCCAAACAGTGCCTTGCTACAGAAAAAAAATAATGTGAGAGGGATGGCCAACCAAAGCTAAACAGAGAATTCTTATTTGGCATTCCCACACAATGAGTGATTCACTTGGCAATCACAAGGTCCAATTATCTTTTAATACTCTTTTTTGGATGTGGCTATGTTATATTGTCCGTAAAAGTAGAATATCAATGCTTTCAGTAATAAAGTTTTTCATTTTATTAGTGAGTGTGTTGCAAAATATAACTTTTTTCAGCTCTCTCCTAACTTTGACGATTTTGTTTTATACCAATGTTGGTATTGTCTCTAGTCCTGGTGTTAAAAAATACCTGTTATTTTAATGCGTTCCATGGCATCCACAGAGCTAAAAAACACAGTTTCTACTGCCAGTTGGTTCTACACCAACTTGATCTGCAGCAGTTATAAAGAGCTGTGCTATACGGCCATATAGGGAAACTAATTTCATCAGAGGGCATGGAAGTGTAGACGCCAGGTTTTTGCAAGCCAAAACCTTGTGATACCTTTTTTGTGAGGATCAGTGTAAGTCAGGATGGCCATAAATTCAGAACATCTCCATTATTCCTCGGCTAATCTCAACATTTAGTGAGCACATGCAAAAGTAAGAACCACTTTAAGAATTTATAACTGTACTTGGCAATTGAAGGTGGGTGAGAAATACAGCAGAGCCAGCAAGACTTTAAACCTTTACTATGACAGATCTTACCTGTTGAAAGTAGTGCAAAGCTGTCGATAGCTGCTTGTAAACAGTACAGCTTGAAATAGGGAAAACATCTTTTTTCCCTGTCAGAATGGCACAAAGCCTTGGCTGAAGCCCTTGCCTGCCCTATCCATCTGGCTGATGTGAGAAATGAGGTATTGATTTTTTTTCTTATACCATACAATCAGAAACTTAGAGGAGTCACAAAGTTAGCAAACACCACACAGACTATTACACTCTAAGTGAGATGTTGGAAAACTTCTGCAACACACCTCTTTCTATTTACCAAATTTGACTTAATTCACATTATTAATCAAAGAAATACAGAACACATGCTGCTAGATGCACTTCTAGTGAAAACTGATGTAGCTAGGAACTGGCTTAGATGCTGTGGCTTTCCGTTTTACAGAAGATTTGTTCACTAAAAGGAAATAATTACTTTGTTAAAAATGAACTGTAAGCCTGTGATTTTTCAGAATCACCCCATTAAATTAGAAGCACAAAATTAATTGCTGCTTATTTCAAGGAAATGTGTGCATCCAAATGCATTTTGTATCTGACCTAAACACCTAGAATGATCTGTTATCTAGAAAATAGTACACAAGAGAAAATCAGAGTGAAAAAATTCATATATTATAATAAAGAAATTACAAGGTAAAGTCAAGACTACCTGTAGGTACTTGCAAGAAATTAAGATTTCAAAATACAGCAACAAAAAATATTTCATTCTTTCTGCTCAAAGT